ATATGAAACAAAGAGCTACTGAAGAAACTACTGGAAATTGGCGTATTTGAATTATTTTCAGTAAAACAATTTAGTTTTGCTGTATCTTCACAAAGCCTGAAGTTCCTAGTTTGTGAATACACCTTGAAATTTGGAAAGGATGATGGGGAAAAAGGATTTGCATTATTTTGATGTGCATACATTTATTAGTATTTTTATTCTTCTGCCAGTGTAAGAGTAAATGTTTAAAATATTTCAGTGCTTTACTATAGTTATTACACATTTTCTATTATTGAAAAGTGTTATTTGTTAGGAATAGTGAAATTAATATCAAAACCAGTAAGATAATAGTCCTTTCCAATCAAAATCCTATGAGAATGTGAAACGTTTCTGGTAAAAATAGCTCCAATTAATTGATTCAATTAAATTTGGATGATATGTCTTGCTACCCAGTGAAGGTGACAGATCACAAGGAAGATTCTTCTGAATTACCATCTGTCAACAGTCTCTGATAATTTCATGAACGATTTTTGTCAAAGCTTCAGTTTAGCAGATTTTTACTTAATAGTTAAACCAGGCTTTATGTTTTTATTCTTTTCTTACAGTGATGATATCTAACTCCTCATTGGATGTGGATGGTTTCTTGTATTTACAGCTTTGGAAGGAACAATTTGTTTCCACTAAAACATTGACTGGCACTGTAGCCATGGGAAGTAATGTAGTTACTTAAGTTCCATAAACCAATTGCATGTGAAAATACATGGTTGTGTTTGTGTAACTGCACAGCCGTCATTGAAATTGCAATAATTTTTAGGATTTTTTTGTTTAAATAAATAATACATGTTCTAAGCTCTGTTTCTCTCCTTGCCTTTTTTCTTCTAAAGTTTGATGTCTTCCATTTTCCAACAAGTGGTGCTGGGATTTTGAGATTGTTCTAGGTTGTTCCCCTTGTTTTAATCTAGTGTTCCCTAAGATTGATAGATCAAATATCCGTATATATCTCTACAAAAAGTAGAGACAGGCCTTGGAAGTGAGGGTCATAGGTTAAATACAGAATGTTAACACAGAATTGAACACCTGTCAGGAAATATGTTTTTAAAATAGTGATTTTGCTAATATGCATAAAAGCTGTTGCAGTGACATTGACCCTTAGCTGAACTGTCTGGTTTCATGTCCAAGCCATGAATAAGAATCAGGGATGTTAGTTTATCATCTTGGGGATTATTCTATATTAATATTTTACGTTCTTTAAAATGGCATTTTAATGACATTTCCCAATTTGCAAGCTAAATAAATTTGACAGAATCCATCCATTCATTTGAAAACTGAGAGGAGCAGAATCTGACAGTGAAAAGTGACAAATTTATATATCAATCCAATTTTCTGCCTATTTGCTTTTTGATTAGAATCTTGTTGCTGTTTTGGAAATAAGCCTATAGACCTGGGATATAACCACAAAAAGTTTGGCTTTGATTTGAGTTATTCTAGAAATTTGGGAGCTTCTTGTGCATCTTATAAGACAATGAAAGAACCTACGCCAAAAAGGTTGCTATAAATCTTATTCAAGAATGTTTCCCTCTTATATAATTCAGGTCTTTTTTAAGCTTGGAGAATGCTACTGTTTCTACATCTTTTATTTGGCTCAGGCAAGACTAGATTCGTGACAGAGAAGAATATGTAAGAATCAGAGTTCACAAAGGTCGTTTAGGAACACTGATATTGGAATGTCTCCAATGGCAGTTACCTTATTAAAAAAACAAAACAAACCCCAAAAAACCCCAAACAAACCGAAAAACCAAAACAACCCTATTGTTACAGTGACACAATGGGAAATGGTTGGAGAAAAGACATTTTTTTAAAGAGTCTACAGTTCACCAAAAAGTTAATCTTAGAAAATTTTGTTTTCAAGCCACTTTACTTTCTCATGCCCTTTTGTTACAATTTCTCTGTTAACCTCTGAAGTGTAGGTAGACTGTTGCTCTAGAGTGCAATGCTGCTGTAGCAGTCCAGTGGAGAGAAGATGAAGTTGGGAGCCACAAAGGGAAAGAAGAAAGCTGTTCTAGCTCTACTTACTTGGACTTTTTTTCTTTATAGCTCTCGTGTACTTTAGACCTGAACTTTTCTTTCTTGACTTTCAGTCCCTGGGTGGTTTCACATAACTGTGCAAGAGCGTGGGCTTTCTATTCTAGGGGGCTGTACACTGCAAACAATGTATGAGGCAACTTTCCTGGCTGAGTAAAATTGCTTACCCTATGCTTACAGTGTCACCTTTTTTCAAAGGCATCACTTCTACGTACCTTAAATCTTTTTTCCAATCTGCGTGGTAAGCATGGTGAACTGTGAATATCTAACATGCAAAATGTGCTTGTGACTTTTAACTTACACTTAGACATATGTTTGCCCCTCTGCAGTACTGGTGAAAAAAGAAAAACCCCAACCAAACAAAAACAGCACAGAAGTATTTGCCTAAGAATTTTTTTAAATTTCCCCCAAAATATTTCCAGTCAATCAAATTTTGCCTGGTAGCACTATTATCTTCCTGGTCTATGGAAATAAGGTGTACATACTCTCACTCCCTGTCAGTTCTCCTAAAAGCCAATTTCAGCCAAACTTGGCATAGGTTGTTTAGGTTTTTGGTGAAAGTGTAGAGTAGAGAGGTGGAAATTCATATTTGTGTGGTGGCAATAATATGAGGACTTAAAAAGACCATTAATGATGATGAGCTGTTAGACTGTCTTTTCTAATCAGACCCTAGGTATTTAAAAGTTGTTGTATCCTTAAAAGCTAGATATGATCTTTTTTTCTTCAATTGAATTGCAGAATGCTTTAAAATAAAATAAAATAAATTACTTATCTGTGAATTTTAGAAGTGTGCATGAATTGCTCGTGTTTTTTCTTGAATACATCTCCGTTTCTGAGTATGTATCCCATACAATATTCATCAGTGAAATTTTAAGTAGGACACTGAATAGAGGAAAAATAGCCATAGCTATACATTATACACATTATACACTACTTTGTTTTGCAGTTTATGAATGATCGCGTCATGATCGTGTCTCTGAGTTTTAAGATGATATTCCTGTATATAGTCCAGTACATTACACTGCCAACTCCCTGTCTCTCTTGTGTATGTACCTGTGAGTGACTGATATGCTTGCTGCACCTTTTCTTTTTCAGACCTGCATGGTGTGGGAGCAGTCATCTTGTTACAGTTAATACTGACTTAGTCATGTCATTGCTATATGCATACATTTTTCAAAATCAAGAAGTTTCTTTATAGATAATTTCACAGCTCTGGTGTAGCTTTGAGGAAACAATCATTACTGCTAATAGAGTAGTCAATAGCAATGATACTGACTAGGTAGAAATTTACTGGTGGGCATGCATGTCTCTCACTCAAAATTAGTTAAAAATGTGGAGGAGTTCAAAACTGAGTCATAATTTGGCACTGCAGAAGCTTCCTCCCCCACCCTTCTCACTCCCAATTCCTCTGCTGCCAAAACACTGCAACAATAGAAGCCTGCAGGAAAGGTGGGGTGAGGAGTCTTTATTCAGAGGTTTACTTAGTGTAACATAATTGAGTTGAAACTCTTTAAATACATATGTCAATTCAGTTTGAGCATAATTAGTTTCATTTAGTAAATGAGAATCAGGAGGCTGTGCTGACTCCACTAAGGATGCAGTTAAGTTACTTTTACAGTACAGAGCATTTGAAAATAGTACTGCTGGTTTAAGGAGTCTCATTCCTGCCCATGCCTATATGGTATGCTGGTTCTGAAGCTGTGCCGTAAAACTGTGTTGAGATGCTGTGAAGCATATTTATTATGAATGTATCCATATTTAAGAATCGCTCCACCCCTCCTCTCAAGTGCTAAAAATCTAGGTCAGTTCATAGTGAGCCCAATAAAAAGTGGAACTGGCACAACTAAGGGAGCAGTGTGGTCAGCTATAGAGTCTGGGATGAGCAGGCAGAGTAAGAACTTCCTAAGCTGGTACTGTTGAAGTTTGGATGTTGTGAAAACTATTGCCTCAGGCCCTAGTATGGCTCCATTAATACAAATAAGTATTGTTGCAAAAAACACAATAAATGCTTCAAAATAAGTGTTACTTTCAAAGTTGAGGACATATAAAGCTTGCCTTGAAACTGAAAACTGAAGAACAAGGAGCAGAAAGAAAAATAAAAATGAATTATGCTTAAAATGGTGAAGACGAGAAAAATCAATTTTTGTCTTGTTTCTTGAGGTTTAAACTATCTTTTCAATAAGAATGAAATTGTGTAAGTGCAGGTGTAAGTAAACACAGCTAACTGGCTAATTGACTAGTTACATCTTGTCTGCTTTTTACAGTGGCTTGATTCAGCCTTTCCAATTTCAAATGTTACATCATTTAAATTGATAGTTTTTCTGGCATAATAATGTAGCAGTATGGTGCTGAATAAGGATTGCCCCCATTCACAGGGAAATTAGCCTGTCCAAGTTAATGCACAGAGTTAACAATGCATAAAAATTCATTGATTTATAATATGTTTGGATTATTCTTGCATTACGATGAAATTACAGTGTTCTCATAATAGGATGAAGTTTACACTTCTGATTCTTGAGCATGGATTTTGGGAATAAAAGGAGCATTAACAAAATGTTAAGCAAAAATTGTGATGTTTAGGATTACAAAGAGAAATTGACGTTGGATGCTTTTGAGTCCTTGCTTTTCTAGAGCTTTATTAAAATAGTTTAGTGAAGAGGAAAATACTTGGAAAATAATTAGCTTGCTTCTATGTAGAAAGTGTGGGGATTTTTGTTTCCTTTTTGTTTTTAAGGCTTTATGCCTAAGACCAACAATGATGATTGTATTACTAGTCTCTTTCTCAATATGGTATGTGTTTGTGTTGCTCTGACTGAACTTGAAATCATCAAGGTGGTTTTCTGGTTCTTTGCTCATTTGGTTTATAGAAACTACTGTCCTGCTATAGAGGACCGATAGCTATCCATATAATTTATGATTGTCCTGTACTTTTGCTCTAGGTTTTCAGTGAAGACTTTGATTGACCGTTCCTGTTTTGAGACTATAGATGATACTTCCCCTGAATTTAATAATTTTGCAGCCATTCTGGAACAGATTCTCAGTCATCGACTGAAAGGTATGTTAATTAACTTCCTTACTGGTGATGGTTTTGCCATGAGAATTTGTTTATATGAAACCAATGTACATCTGTAGAAACTCCTTGATGCTGAATGAAAGTGTTGCCTTTCTTTGTGTGTCTGTCCCTTTGCTGTTGCCTTCCACATTGTTTGCATTACTGTGGAAAAGTGAAGGAAAGGGGTTTTGGGAAGCATGGTTTCCAATGTTCTTGTTGGAAGCCTTCTTGGCTGGTAATTAAAGTGGATGTTGCTATGGTGCTGAGCTCTGTCTGGTTTTCTGCTTTATGATAAGGCTGTGTCCTAAGAGTCTGAGTCTGAAACAATTGTGTTTTCTGCTTTAACAGAAGCTATAGAGAGCATATCTGTGATGCTGCTCCCTTTTCTTTCTCCTTTCCCTGCTTTTGTTGCCTTCATTTTCAGATACTGTGTTTAGGTCCTTTCATTCCTGTTCCGCTACCCCTCTAGTGAAGCTGGGTTTTGCTACTGGAATGTAGTGAATCTGGATTAAATTGCTTTTGAGAAAGTTCAGTTGTTGATTTTCTTCTTGTATTGGAGTCAGATGTTGTTTTAATTCAAGAAAATGTCTGTTTGCGTTTTCTGATTGTTCTAGAGGAAGCTGCTTTGCTAAAAGAACAGAGAGTGCCTTAGTGGTAACAGTCACTAGAAAAGGACTTTGGAAGCTTCCTCTCATTCCTCAGTTCTGTGTGCAGTTTCTGAAATTATTTGAGGATTATGAAGGACATTATAATCATCTAAATATAGATGTGTAATATGACAATCTACACCTTTTCATACTTTTGCTTTTTAATATTCGTAACTAAGCTTTGTGAACAATAATGTGTGTAGGCTGACATTTGAGTGCCACAATTACTACCTGCTGTCATTCTGTCAGAGAAGAAAAAAAAAAAAATCACACGGTAGGGTAGAAACATAGTGTTTGTCACATTGTGACAAAGATTATTGGAGTGGTTATGGGTACTTAGCAACTTGACACTGCAGGAAAATTGCTCTGTTTTCTCCTTCTCCCCCAGCTTCAGTGATGTTTGAGCAAAAATCATTATCATTTCCCCCCACCTCCCCAACATGCTTTTGCTTCACAGTCTATTATTCAGGACAGGCAGGACAGAGAAGAAGCCTTGACAGGTTGGCAAATGCGTTACAGGCAAATGGAATTTGCAAGTAAAAATTATTTCAAATAAGAAATAGAGAAAATCAAACAGCTAAATTGTTGTTTCAGTCTTCCCCTTGTAATTACCAGTATGATTTTCTAAGTTTGTAGAGTTAAATAAAAATATGGAAAAAGGCAGCAACTTGTGCATTGTATTGCAAACAGAGAATATTTTGGTAATAAGCTAGATCACTGTGAGTAATTGTTTTATTCTTTAAAAACTTGAAAGGGCAATTGAGATAAATGTACCATGACAATTCAAATTTTCAGAGGATATATATTATACAATACAGGGCTTGAAAGAAATTGCATTTTATTGATGGAAATGACTAATATATTCTGAATGCATACTTTGTGTCAGTAGGAGCACTCTGAAAGCAGGCTGGTGATTGCAGCGAGTTGTATAAAATGTTTTAAAGCAGGCAGAACATTCATGATCTGTTTGTCTATGGTAAGATAAATGGCTTCATTGTATCAAAGTTGTCAGGATAATGTCATGGCAGTGTAGTTAAACCAGTGATCCAGATTTGAGAGTTTGAGTATATAGACCTTTACTTTCTTAAGGCCATGGCAAATAGCAATTCTTAATCTTTAACTTTCTTTGGAAGTACTGAGTAGGGAAGAATTAAAAAAAAAAAGTATTTAATTTGCATTGTAAAGGACTAGTTTTACTTTTATTAGAAAACTTTTGCTAGCAACTGTCTTTTCTGACATTAAATATAATATGTTTTTAAGGAGCAAAGCATAGTCTTGACAGAATATAGTGACTGTTGCTGCTTATTGGTTTTGTGTTCAGATAGGATCTAGACAAAACAAAATAGAAAGAAGAAGGATAGCCATTTTAAGGGAAAAAAATATTCAACTACAGGGATTGGAATTTTGTGTTTTCCTGAAACCATTGCAATTAAGAATTCTGAAATAATTTTCCAAACCTCATCCTCTTGGCTGTTCTGCTAAAAATGCCAGTTATAGCAATATGAGCACCATTTTTAAATTGTGTTTTTGATAGGTAAACTGATCTGATGTTGCCAGCTCTGAACAGCAAAAGCGTCACAAAACAACATTCATAGTGGTTTGGGTTTGTTTTTTCTTTTCAGAATCATTGAAGAATTTCGTTTGGAAAGTACCTTAGAAAGTCATCCAGTCCAACCTCTTGCTCAGCAGGGCCGTCTCAGATTGCTTACGGCATTTTTCCGGTTGTGTTGAAAATGTCCATGGCATCTCTTAAACTTAGTGCAGTTTGCTACAGATTCCAGCCCGCCCCCCTGCCCTGCGCTTTGTGCTTACCTTTCCCTGATATTGGCCATGGGCTTCACTGGATCCTGTGGTGAGCCAGACCAGGAAGTCAAACAGGCAGAAAACTAATGACTTTCCCCATGGATGCACTTCTTTAACCCAGCTGCTCATTTTCTTAGGAGTGGTAAAGATGTGGTTGGTTGCTTAGTAATAAAATGAGGACAGCATAAATATATCAGCTCACACAACAGAGATCTGTGAATGCTGCTGAATGCAGGTATCTGTTCATATGATACAGAAGACTTAGTACATATGGCACCAAAATAGTTCCAAAAAAGGTAACATAGCATGCCATGGCCAGAAGGCCACATCTGTGCTACCTTACAGTTACAGGTACATCAATGACATTAAGTAGCAGTCAGGAATAGGGCACTGTTGTTAGAAAAAGCAGTCTGGTTCACAACCTATTTTTGAATTGCCCTAAGGAGGAGAGAGAGAGTTTGAGTAAGCTGTATTAACTCTCTTTTCGGGGATTGCAAGCCATTGACTGCCTTCTGCTCTAGAAAGTGGAGAAATACACATCCCTGTACTGTGTAATACTGTATGTGTAATATACCTGGACCTCCCTAAAAGTGCTGGATTTATTGTGAATGCAGAGTAGACCAAATATCGTAATGAGAAGGATATAAAGCATGTGTTCTTCCTGTCATTAAAATAAGCTGTGTGGCATGCCTGCTGGCAAGATGTGATACTACTGGACAAGACAACTGAAGATCTTGAAAAGGTAGGAGAGGAGGAGTAACAGAAAAAAGATGAGTGATTAATTACTCTTCTATTCCTTCTCAGGAATAAGAATTTGCATGGTTTTATAACACAGCAGAAAGCAAGTGGTATCCTCAGTGGATACAGAGACAATGTATTTGAAGTCTCTGGGCCAAATAAGACCTATAGTTCTGAAAGGGATTTTACAAATTTGTATACAAATGTATATGTGTTTGATAATTTTCAAAGACTGGCTAATTTCAGGAGCCATTTTTTTCCCCAGATAGTTGTTTGGAAATTGTTCCTTTCTTAACTGTTCTGTACTGCAGAGATTAAGCTGTATCTTGTAGTTGTCTTGATGGTTTCTTGTTTTCACTGCTGGCCACAGATTTTTCAGGTACATTTCCTGCAAGTGTCCTTTTTAGTAGTTCAGCTAAGTAAATATAGTTAGTGCAGAAATGGTATGGGCATCAAGGAGTATTCAACAGTACTTGGGATTTAATCGCAGGTATATTGTAGCTGATTTAAAACCTGAAGTAATTTCGAAGTGATGTATATGTTATCTTTACTGTATCACAATGTTGTATGGTTTTCTGCCTTTTTCTATCACTTTAAATTACTTTTAACTGAGTTAGCATTGAAGAACATTAATAATTATTGTAGATTTTTATGGCCATCATCTCAAACATGTTTCTGAAAACTATTGTTGTATGTATGTATTTATTGACTTACTATGTTTTTGTTGCAATATCCTTTACAGCAAATATGTGTTTATATTCAAACTGCTAGCCAGTATGCGTACTTAGAAATAATTTTGGTGTATAAATTAAGTTCTGTCACCAACTAACTATATAGTGCATCTTGCTTGTGACTTCTATAATTTTTGCATGTCATGGTTATTGTGAGCATACTTGTCATCTATATGCTTATTTGCATTTACCACCATAACGACACAAAACAGTATGCTGTGCTGTGCTATTTTGACACTTTCACAACTTTGTGTGCCTTTTTTCCTTATGTACCTTTAGAAGGTATTATAAACACGTCAAAAGCTTCTGCTAGAGTTGCCTATGGAAGCTGCTTGTCTCTATCTGATCTATGTTATTCATAATTTTTAGTGACTGTGGAGTTCATTTGCTTGCTTTTTTCTTTTAGAAAATTTACTTTGAGTAGTAAGCTTCTAGGGTGATCAGTGCTGCTTAAGTGGAAAGATAAATGTAATAATTCTCTTCCTTTCCTCATTCTAGAAAATGTTCTAGCTTCATGCATTGTCACTAATCTGGTGGCAGTAATGGTAAATGACTCTACTAGTGATGTCACTGGTAAATGTTGTTCAGTTTTTGCAGGTCTTCATAGTAAGGTCTATTATTAAATAATTAATTTTGAAGCAGTGAAGGACTCTTCTTGTGTCTGCAGTGCACAATTTATCCCTTCCTGTATAGTTCTTTATTTTGCTTATTTATTTTTAGGAGGGAAAAAAAAGCACTTACTACTACCTGCTATTTCATGAAGTCTCTTTCTTTTTAAGCAGTGATTATTAATACAATTTTTATTAACCAAAATTTCCTGAATTCTAATAATTCAGGCATAAACAGTGGTTACAAAGGGAAAGGGTATGAAATATGATTGTAGATGACAATTTGTGCTTGTAGGTCTAGATGACAGGTGAGGAAGCAGGGTTCTTTCAGTAAGTAAGATGCAGCTTGTAATGCTGCTCATCCTGAGTGAAACAGGTCTGCTGGATAAAATAGTTAAGGTAGTGGCCATATAATGAGAGTGAAAAAGATAGGTTAAGGAAATAAGAGCTGAAGGCACTACTGTCATGAAAAAGACAGTCTAAACATATAGCTGTGGTGGCCCTTTATTTGGCGCAATAAAGCTATTAGCAGAACTGATTTGTTACTAGATTTAATGTTTATATACACATGGTGACCCTATTACTGATTTTGGCTAAAAAGAAATAGTAGTGCTCTTGTGTAGTTTGTGGTTTAGCTCATTCCCCTTTCTCCTGTATGAAGAAAAATCTTAAATGAATTTACAGTTGTCTTGGAGGACAGGGTTTATGAACTACTATAAATTTTTAATGACCCATTCTGTAGGCCGAAAATAAAAGAGTAGGTATCACAGAAATTCCTCAAAGCACTAGCATGTCAGTTTATCACCATCAAGTTGTATTAAAACTTATTTTTTGCAGGATAGAAAAATTTGCTGCAAACAAAATAATACAGAGAAGTCTGGAGAAAACCTGCCTATACCTTAGAGCATCCTAGTCGTTACTGCTTTGCAACTGTGGAACTTTGTAGATATGAAATTGGACTGTGATTGAGTAGGAATCAAACTGTTTAATGTCTTATTTGTGAAGAATTTCTTGGGCGTGAAAAAAGATCTGCAACAACTGGTGTTGCAGATGTTTGTATTTAGTTGTCAGACTGGAGCAGAAACGGGTTGATACAAATAGATGTGTAGCAGTATTCAAAAATGTGGTGAAATAGAAAAAACCACAATATTGTTTCTATTTGCTTTGCAGTTCTGTAGACAAGAATTGAGTCAATTTGAACAATGTTTAATATTAAACATGCAGCTTCCATGCTTACCTAACAATTTTGTTTGGCTCACAAAAAAACTCAACATCATTCCTTTTGGAATAACTTCTGTGTCTTGTGATGACATATAAACTTCATGGCAAAGACCGCATAGTCTTTGCCCTTTGGACCTGCCAAGAAACTTACTCTTTCCTTAAGAAGTACTTTGACAGAGCATAAGTTGTATACTAAAATTAGCTTTCAAGTTTATTAGGACCGTTTAAAATTTAGATTTGATTTTGGAATCATAGACTCATAGAACAGCCCAGGTTGGAAGGGACCTCGAAAGATCATCTGGTCCAACCATTTGTGGGAAAGGCAGCCGAGATGAGATTATCTAGCACCTTGTCCGATTGCATCTTGAAAACTGCCAGCGGTGGGGCCTCTACCACATCTCTGGGGAGGTTGTTCCAGTGAATGATTGTTCTTACTACAAAAAATTTCTTTCTTGCGTTGAGATGAAACGTTTCCCAGTGCAACTTGTACCTGCTGCCTTTTGTCTTCTCCATGTGGCTCCTTGTAAAGAGAGAGACTTCATCCTCTTTGTAGCAACCCTTTAAGTACTGGAATTCTGTGTTGAGTTCCCCTCTGAGCCTTCTCTTCCCTAGAGAGAAAAGACCTTCATCATGGGGCAGGTTCTCCAGCCCTTTGAACATCTTCGTGGCCCTCCTTTGGATGCTCTCCAATCTGTCCGTGTCCTTCTTGAATTGTGGGGACCAGAACTGGACACAGTACTCCAGATGTAGCCTGACAAGTTCTGAGTAGTGGAAGCTATTTCGTTACTCATTCTTGAGAGTTCTTGCGGCTGTGTACATTGAGTGCATTGAGAGCCAAATAGAATTTCATATGCTGCAAGCTTTTAAAATTGTAGGGAATATACGGCTTAATAGCTTATTTAGTAGTTCTTAAAATATATTCTTACTATTCTTGGACAGTCTTTTCCAACATTTTTCTGTGTATAGAATGGTTAAGGAAGTTTTTCTTCAGATGGCATTTGTTACTAGAGTACAGACAAGGTTTAAATTTGGAAGAAAATAGTGAAATATAGAAGTCCTTGGTTCACAGAAGATCCTGAGCTGGCTATGAGTTTCAAGAGAAGGCAGTTCCTACTGAAGACTGAAACCCATCATACCCTCTCACAGAGCTGGCTGTGAGATGAGAGCCCACTGTTATGTCAGAGTATGTTGTAATTATGGCCAACTTGCTTTGTTGATCAGTGTAAGCCAAATGAGTGCTATGTGCTGGTATGTATTTCTGTTATAAAGGTATTTTTGTTTCTAAGTGACATGTTTTTCAGGTGATCATTTGTGAAAGGAATTGATTTGAATTAGTGACTTCAGAAAACTATAGAGTGAAACTGTCCATTTTTTGCAGAATATATTCTGTCCTTAAGATAGTTTGAAAAAACCATTAAAGTTATTTTATTATATGCCTGTTTTTATTAGCTGGCACTGGAATTGGTGACACAGTCTTCTTCACACTTAAGTTGAATTTAATTTTGCAGGTATAATCCCCAGGGCAGAAATGTTTCTGATATGGTAAAGAATATGAAAAATATCTGTAGCTTTTTGTGTTGTTAAAATGTCATTGAATTTTTGTTGCTGTCTGCTACACTTGGTGTTTTAACAAAAATAGTAAGTTTGTAAGAGCGCCTACCTCATGATAATTCTTTTATTTTAGTCCTTAGAGCTGAGAAGATCTGAATCTACAGTAACTGAAGCACCTTGGGATTTTGTTTTTCCTTTGGCATATTGAGTAGTATATATTAATTTTTCCTGCTTTCTTTTTTTTATAAGTCTTTTACCAAGCTTTGAATTTAATAAATAAATCCATGTGGTGAAGTAAGCAAATGGAGCAGAAAGTCACGTTACATGCACCCTCTGGGGGAAAAAAAAAAACCACCACCACCATTTGAATTTCTTAAGATCATAGGGGACAGTTCTTTGACACTGCTCTGGCTGTGCCTGGAGCTAAGATAAGTCATTGTAGATGAAAATATCCTTCTCATCATATTTGACATTCTGTTTTCAGTATGTATGATTTGCAGTATCAGTGTAATATATTGTTTCTTGAAATCTGAGCTTTCTAATGGCAAAAGAATTAGAAGTCTTTCTGATAAATTAGTAAAGGTTCAGAAGTACAATACAAGACTTGAAATAAAATAAAATTAGCTTAAAAATAAGATCTCATTTTGCATGGAGAAAAGGTTTTGCATGTATGTAATAATGGCAGTCACCAGAGGGCAATGTGCATCTTACTTTTTACATACCTGTTCACAGTTTTATGCTGCTCAGTCTGAAAAATGGGGCTGAACTGTTGTATGTGATGAAATGTATTGTGCGGAGCAACTGCGAGTAGTATGTAATTTTACCTTTCATTTTATAACTGCAATACATTTCAAGCTGGAAAAAAATATGAAGGATTTTGGTTAAAGGTCCAGAAGATATATTGATTTGCTCAATTAATTTTGGTCAGCTTCCCAAGGAATGTTTTGTGTGTACTCAAAATAAATTGTGACTGCAAAACTTTTTAATCATGCATCAATTTCTCCTTCAATGAAAGCACATTTTGAAAAATTCTAATCTGCTCCTAAAATAAAGATAACATTACCACAGCAAACAGTGGTCTTTTATATTTTTATACATATATATATAATTTTTAAAGAATAAAACTCTCTTTACTTGATTGTATTAGTGAAACATGTGGTACTACCTAAAACAAATAACAGAAATACTTCTTGCATCGTATTTTTAAGTCATGACAGCGTGTGCTCTATTGTGATTTAAAAGTCCCATGGAGAACTCTTGAGTATTATTACAGCATACTAACAAGGGGAAAAAAACCAAAATACATATATATACACACAGAAATCCCAAACTTCTCTTTGTGCATTGGTTTCAAACGAGAGTGAGCTGCATAATGGAAGTTTTTTTTACACCTGTGAGCCAGTTTTCAGTAGGAATTTATCTACTTGCTAATATAAAGTCCCGTCAGTACAGGCAACCTATAGGGAAGTATTTTAATTATGTTTATCTCCAATAAGTAGAGAGGGAGGTTCATAAATCTTTACATATCTTGTATTTTGATTTAAGGTCAGATCACCTGGTTCGGCTATGAAAGTCCTCGTAGTTTTTGGGACTACATTCGAGTAGCTTGCCGAAAAGTCTCTCACAATTGCATCTGCAGTATTGAGAACATGGAGAATGTCGGTTCTTCTAGAGCCAAGGTAGGGAAGAGAAAGGTCAAATTGACTTTTTTATTACTTTGTTATGTGTAAAATATAGCTGACATTTCTGTACCCAGAAGAAAAACATTGCTAAGCTTGCCCCACAAAATTTTTCATTGCTTGAAATAATTGGGTTTTATAAGTACCTAGTAAATATTTACTTTAAAAACCCCCACTTTTAAATCTGAATGTATTTCCTTTTTAATTTATGTTATTCAGTAGAATAAATCTCAATTTGTCTATTCAGTGAGCATGTTGTGTTATAAAATGATTGCCTTCACATTTTTTACCTTACATAATTTTTTGAAAATGCAGTATGTTGAGGGACATTAAGTTCATTCAGAAATGCCTAACAAATATTATTTTAAAATTGTAGAAATATGATTTCCACACAGCTCCCAGGTATAATTTTATTTTTGTATAGAACTTACGCACTATTAGAAAAGGTGTGATCAGTTCTTGAGTTTGTTGGTGTGATTGTGCAGGAAGCCTTTAATAGATTTATTTGCTAATAAAGATCCATCATTTCAAAAGATCTATATAGAAATGACATCACAATTTCTGATTGTAGGTACGATGGAAACGTTAAGGAAGTAACAATTTAATGTTTTTATATGCATATGAACTGAAGAAGAATAAGCTTTAAACTGACCTATCATTAAACCTTAACAATGTGAGACAGTATAGACCAACATCTTAAAAAAAATACTGTTGGACAGAGATTACAAGTTCTTTTTACTAGATTGGAATGGTTTTCAATGGCTTGTATTTCTGTGTAAAGCAGCCTTGACTGATAACAGAACCGTCTGACTTGAAAGTAGTATAAAAGGATGCACAAATTAGTGTTTTTAATTATTTTTATTCCTAAATGAACTGGAATCCATTGTTTGAACAAGTATCCAAACTGTGTTCCATGGTTATTTTAAAAATCCTGTAGTTCCAGATTTTTATTATACTCTGGATTATTCACAGTTGGTGTCAGTGGTGAGGTGGAAATACTGAGCTTGTTATGTACAGAAACTTTGTAGGGTTTTTTTTTTTTTCCAGGGGCATGACTGTGGTTAGTACAATTTACATTATGCAACCACAGTTTTCTTCAATAAAAGATGATGCTTAGATCAAGCAGGACCATGAATCTAATAGATCTTTGAGCAGCTATTCTGATGATCCATAGCATTGCATGCCAGCTTATTTACGATGTCTACTGTTGCTCCTTTCTTGTTTTGTATAGACTCAGATTTAAATTTTATGTAGTAAATGTATCCGTAATTTACATGAAAGCTTTGAAACACTTGAGATGCTATGGTAAAAAGCTAATGACTGGTTTTCCTATCCAGAATATTACATGCTCTTCCTAGCATTCAATGTACTAGAGTAGTACAGTGATAATTTAAGTCATGCAGCTTTTCTTCTTGCTTATGTTGAGATCTGGAAATTCAGATTATTTGGAGAACTTATTTCCAAATACTTTCTGGAGGGAAGTATATTCTAGAATTTGATGATTGTATAGCTTATATTTGAGATTTAATTTAAAGACATTTTTGAATTCCAAGATTTTAATAGATAAGAATATTTAAATTCAGTAGATAATAAGATGCAAAGCTATTTTCTGAAATACTCTTATAAATAAATTAAAATTTATTTTTACTCTGTGGAAAACCCCATGCCAAATAGTAAAGAAAGTTAATTTGTGCAGCAAGTATGGAGACCGGTGTTGAATTTTTAAATGTGTATGTGGGAGTATTTTGGATGTCTGTATCTGAAAAGGTTGGAGGCATGCCAACACAAATACCAATGGTATGCATCAGTTTTGCTGGTGGTCCAAATGAGTGTCTGCTTCAGCCTGGAAGCTGTTAGTAAGGGCTTCCCAGTGCTAGTTAGCCCTGCTTTCACTGGAGCTGCATAGGCTTTAGTCTTTAGCTAAGCAGCAGCATCAGGGTTTGACTGTTTCGCTCATGTTCTAAATAACTGCAATGTAAAGGCATCTATCCAGATAAACATTCTTTTAATTTTAGTGTACTCTATATTAAAGTTTTTGTGGTGGTGTTGGTATTTATGGTATATGTGGTATATGTTTATAGAACTGTTTGAATGAAGTTTTGCCTTTGAACTACAAGTTTTAGGCCTCTTAGATTTGATTTCATTCCTGTATGTTATGTGCACCTTCTATAATTATGTCCTTACCAAGGGAAAAAAAAAATTTATGCAAGTTACATAATAAAAATATGTCACTGAGTTATAATTTTTTTAATAGATCCCACAAATATTTGAATGAACACAGAGAATTAGTTCTTACTTAAATCACCTCGAGGGTAGGTTATTGCTACTTTACAGATGAACCATTTGGATGCTTCCAATACCATTGTCTTTAAAATGAAAAGCTTTCTGCCTTCATCTGCTACCACTCATGCACACGAGATTTTCAAAAGGCTGGACTATATAATTAAAGCAAAATGCTTCCCTCCTCCTCCTTCAAATTTTGGAGAACTTTATTTCATAATAAAGTTCATTTCAAAGAATGCATTTTCTGTTTTCATTATTACTATAATGAAGTACATCTTAGCAACAACTTCTGTTTAGTGGTAATTTTGTTAATCAGTTCATTTCACCCAAGTAAATCAAGTGTATTCATTTTCAGATGTAAAATTAAATGTTTAATTCTCTAATACTTAAATATTTGATATCTGTTTCTTCTTGCAGGGTCGAGCCTGGATCAGAGTAGCACTTATGGAAAAGCATTTGTCTGAATACATTTCCACAGCTCTGAGAGACTTCAAAACAACCAGGTCTCTAAGACTTATTTTAGCAATTGTTGGTTAAGTGAGGGACTTAGGTTTGGAAGTGAATGTTCCACTTGATTTGTATAGGAAAGGATGTTACTAGTAAAAGAGCTGTAACCTAGTAAAAGATATCTGGAGTTGGTATCATTGATTGGATTTTAGCATGGGTAAAACTGCAAAATTGAAAATATCTTTGTGATTTTAAAAATATGGAAATAAGTCTGGAATTCTTGAAGATCAAAAGAGAAGAAAACCTCTCTAAAGAAGAAACTAATTTTGAAATTTTAGTGTGATAAGGATAGAAGATGTAAAGTTCCTTTCAAAATTAGATGTGGTTGACAGAAAGCCCTAGAAACTCAGGAAAAAATAATTTTTATGGGAACTTTTCTTGAAGAAGAAAGGAAGAGAATTCCAGGAACCTTTTGATAAATACAGAAGAACAGAATTGGTGATCAGGCATAGCTGGGATTCTTGATGTAATATGAAAAATGTGTAACAGATTTTTGTGGTACCTTCTAATGGTAAAAGTTGTTATGTACAAGAATGTGCTTTGTGATAGAAAATATTCTGGACATATTCTAGATAATGTGATTATTATATGATGCTTTACCCTGTAACAAGTGTGTCTTCCAGATTTATGATGAAGTCATATAAATATGAGTGAGTCTGTAACATGTTGTGGTACCTTACGTTGAACTCTAAAAGTTCTAGACATACTGAACGGGCTATTTAAGCAATAAGAACTTTCTCCACAAGGACTTCTCTTCATTTAGGATATTATTTCTGTTTGTAATAGTTTGTCCACATATCTCCATATATTTTGCCAATATTAAGGTGACTCTGAAACACAACTAGGTAAACATCCCATTTTATTGAAGTTTCCAGACCTGTCATCTTTATTTTACCCAGATTTGCTTGCATTTATAGTAGACAATAAGCTCATAAACCAAAGATTTCTGGGAAAGATTTACTCATGCTGCCTCAAACTGGAAAGTCACTTGGGTTTTTGAGGGGGAGATGAGCAGGAAGAGGAGGGTCACAAACTACGTAGCTAAGTAGTACATTCTTTGTCCCTTTTTGGTAGTGCAGTTTGTTTGCTAGTGGATAACAGTGGTGTTATTTTATTAACAGTTTCAAATTCATTTATTTGAACATGTTAATGTTTAATATATTTGAACGTTCTTTCAGTGGTATAGCTTTTGGAAACATCCTCTCTTGCATTCCAAACATAGTAAATGCAAAGTTTGGTTTGAAGTAATATTTTAAATACACCTAATGGAAATAAAAGTTACAGTTTCAGATCTTGGTAGTGTGGATTTCAAATCCACTAGCAATAATGGACACACTCTCTTTTCTTGTGTGGGATTTTGGATACCTAGTAGGTGGACTGATTTTTTTGGTGATGGTTTTCACATTTATTTATCATTTTAAATTATGTATTGTGCTATATGTATATTTTATAATTATTTATATAAACTATAAATATCACATGGTACACATCTGTATGTAGAATATGAGGTTCATCTGTCATACTGCTAGCACTTTTTAAACCTCACTGTTTTGTTTAGGTGCCTGATCTTAGGGCTAGTCCTTCAATGAAGCAGCACATTATTAGTGCTGGATCTGCATATCACACTTGGAAGGGGGTTGAAGTAAGCATGGGCACACAATTATTTTTCTAACAAATTGCTTAGCACAGACTCTTAAGTTAAAGTAGACTGTTCTGTTGTGAACTGTCAACTGCATAGCCCTGAAAGATCTGTGAGTTTTCCAAGGGGACTGTTGTTTTGTTTGGATTACTGTAGCTTGTTTAAACTACAGTTTGGCTGGATTACTGTAGCAAGGTTTAAGAAACCGTTACAAGTACGCTCTGTCCTTTTTGTGTGTTTGCTTCCTAGACACCATTTTACAAGGTAAACTGAACACAGTACAGGTTGGTACCTGGCAGTGATTTTACAAGTGACAGTGAAATGACTTTTAATCAGCTTGTTCTGGGAGCATAGCTGTTAGTTCACAAATAAGAGTAACTGTACTGAATCAGACTATTAAGTCCATCTAGCTCCATATTGTGTCTCAACCAGTGCCAGTGTAGCCTCTTGGTGCCCTTCCTGAAGTCAGAGAGTAGAGGGCCGAGTCTGTATGTCATATCTTCAGCATCAGGACTATAATCTCTGTCTTCCCAGAGGAAGTCTTCCAGATTTCTTGCTTCTGCTGAGAACATCCGAGGTCTTGGACAGCTTGTTTCCTTACAGCAAATCGACATCTGTTATGAAAGTACAAAAGTGAGACTTCCGACAGTATGCGTTATAACACAGTTCAGTCTTTGGAGCTGTGCCCCAAAATGTGTCTTTTCTGGATGTTCGCCATGCAGCCAACTCGAGCTGTCACTGAGCTATCCCAATGCTTTCATGCAGTTCTTAAAACAGATGGAGCTTTTGGTAGGGCAGTGTTGCTCGTATTTGTCTGAAAGATAAGTTGCATTCAGTAACCTGGCACCTTCTTGCAATCATACCTTGCTAGAATGTATAGGTGGACTGTGCATCTTGGTTTCTGGTAAGTGACCATTCAACCTTGCCTTTGGTACTGAACAGCTCTTGGTTTCCGTCTTTCCACATGTGAACTCTAGTGACCTTTCTGCCTCTGCTGCTGCAAAGACTCCTTTAACACAGAAATTAAAGTTGTGTGCGACTTTGCTAAACAGACTAAATGCCTTTTTTACAAGGCCATGCATGGCAATGGTGGGTCCTATTTGCATACTCTGTGCATGGAACATTTCTGTCTGTAAGTAGCTTCTGTGGTAGCTGGGAGGAGAAAATTAGAATAAATGGGAAAGAACGGGGAGGTGGTGAGGGAATACAGATCTAAAAATTGCTGCTTTATTGGTCACTATTCTCAAGCAGCCTTCACAAATCTGCGTATACCAGCGTATGAGAAGTGTATTTTGAGATCAAGGCATGGAGTTTTAAAACTTTGGTGAATAGGTGTTTTACAATAAAAAGTGGTGTTAAGAAAACACTCCTTCTTCAAATAATGAAAATTTAAATCTCAGAATAACTGGATGCATCTTCCCAGCACGCAGTATTTTTAAAAAAGTATGCTACCTAGAAAACAGCTGATCTGTGAAAATATTTTTTTTTAAATAATCAACTACTAAGAATGAAGAGTGAATGTTGAACTTTAAAAGAGCCTGTAAGTGCAATTGTGAGAGAGAACTTTTTTTTTCATACTATTGAATGATGATTTTTTTTTTTAATGTGTGTGACAAATTCTTCCTTTCAGCAGTGAAGTATAAGATATCTTCATCATTTTTTTTTAATTTTGTCCATCCTGTTCTACTATTTCTTAGGGCTAATATTGTAAATTCTTTTTGCTTCTGTCTAATTTTTATGTGCTCTAAGATTGTGGGTTTTGTGCTGTACAGTCTATTGGTTTACTTTATTTGAAATGAAATAGGAATGCCCCTGGGGTTCACATGAGTTGTTTTTATTTAAACTGTTTTTCTTCAGTTTTCTGTTAATTATGAAAAACATTATTATTATTTGAGAGAAAATGTTATTAATTGCACTAATTTCTTTTATATCAAAGGAGATTTTATGAGGATGGAGCAATTGTTCTGGGTGAAGAAGCAAATATGCTTGCTGGCATGCTATTGGGACTCAATGCAATTGATTTCAGGTATTATATTTGCATGCTTCATAGCAAAATGCTCAGGGAAAGTCTTATAAATCGATGCATTATGGAAAACATTGTTAAGATTCCCTTGATAGTTTGAGAGACAAAACTTTGGGGGAGGGAGGAGGGGGAGAGAGGGAGATCTTGAATGGTTCTTCTAGCTATGAACAAAGTCTGCCATAGTTTCTGTAGCTGCATAATTACACAGACTTTCTTTCAGTTATCAAAATCCTAAAAGCAGTCAGAAGTATAATTGCAGAAGATATATCAAACCTATTAAGTGAGGCTTACAGATAATTGAACCCTTAAAGTTATTTTTAAACTGTAAAGAAAACTGTGTGATTAAGTACATGGTCATGCCTTAGCACTCAGTGACAGGATTGTAACTGCATATGTAGAAGGTGGAGGTAGCTTTACCTTTAGCACTTCTAGATTTTAAAAGCTTAACCTACAAATGACCATTTAATATTAATTTATGTTATAATTAACTGCAGTCAAAATGCAGAGTATTATCAGATTATGTGAATTGACCTTTGCAATCTCTAGCTAGACTTTTATGTGCTTTGTTATACGATTTTGGGGTAATGAAGGTGCAAGCACACCCTGGATAATATAAAAACCATCTTGATGTATGTATACAAATATATATACATGTGTATATAAATATATATATATATAAAAACATCAGCAAGGTATAAAGACTACAGTGCCCCTGAAAAGATCAAACCTAGCTGGTGCAAGGCCCTGTTAATATGCCTAGTTGGGCCCACTTAGCCTTTTGGAGAGCCACTGGGGAAGGGTTTCGTAATACAGCATAAGGAAGAGGAAAATGGTAACGCTTTTCTGCAGTCTCCTGACAGTGCACTGTTAGTATTTACCCTGCAGCAGCACTAATGCTTGCTACAAACCAGTTTAGCAGATAAACTGTCAGAAAACAGCACATACTCTCACTGCATGCACTGAGTGGTTGACTGTTGCCAAAAGGCCTTTAGAGTTTTACTCCTGCTTATGTACACTTATACCAGTTTTGAGGCTTGCTGGATCCTTCTGTGAGCCAGCTTAATGTGTTAAAGAGTAAAAAGACATACCCAGTAAGAAGACAGGATAGTTCTTTTGTTGTTAGCCAGTTTGGTTCACGGAGGCAACCTAGCCTAATAGTGGCAGAGATGATGAGACCATAAGGCTTAGAGAAAACAAGGAATAAAAAGGATTGAGTAATGTCTTCCCATTTGGGTGACAGTGAGCATTTAGTTCAGCTGACTGTGGAACTGCAACTAGATGCTAAAGGAGGAAAAAAAACCCTAGAAATTCAGGTCTTGATGGCTGAACTATCTCATCATGGATTCAGATAATTGCCAATACCACTGTAAGGAAGGGAAAGGGAATGTCTGGTTGGGTGTTAAAAAAAAACAAACCAAACAACAAACAAACAAACCTCCAAACAAAACCAGGGAGGGAGAGGTTGAAAATGCAGGATAGCTTCTTTTGCCAACATTTAGTCATTAGGTTGGCTTAACTGAATCCTCAACATATGTTGACTGGAAGTGTGCTGCAGGATGATAAGAGAGCTAGCCTTGTGTACAGCAAATTCAAATCTTACCAGATTTTATTAGTTTAAGCTTTGCACTATGTGAAATTAAACTGCTTATGTATTAGCACTATACTTAGAAGGACTATAGCTACACATGAATAAGAAGCATAGCAAGAGTAGATCTGCAGTATGTAAATCTCCCATAAATAGTCATCAATCGACTGTGTTTGTCTTGCATAAGCCTCAGTGGTACATACTACCAGTATGAGAGCTTAGTTGTATGAGTGTGCTTGTTCTTCCGTTGCCCTCTGATTTCTAATATAAGCATATTTATAGGTATCTGTTAATAGTATTCAGGTAATGATTGGTTCTCGTTGGAGACATTTAAGTTTTTACCAATGCAGCTTTTACGAGGCTAAAAATTTTCTAGGCAGAACAGGAACACAGTGCTACAGGAGCATTTTTATTGTGCCACATATAGTTAGTAGTATTGTGGTTTGAATGGCTGAGAAGCTGTAGCCATTCTTTGCATGTTATATTTGAGTTTGGTTTTTTTAGTTCAGACAGTCTCTTGTAAATGTTGACTGGTTTATCTATGTGGAACTGTAAATAAGACTTTGGGGTGGAGATGGGGGAACACAGGTGGGAACAGAATCTAAATATTTTCCTCCCCCTCACAGCAATGTGGAATTATGTATCTACTTAAAGTGTGGTTTTGCAGGGGTGTTTTTGTTGTTTTCTTTGCTTTTCTTTTCTTAGGGAAAAAAAAACCCTTCAGATGTACTTCTCAAATACTACTTAAGTGACTGCATTGTCAAAAATGGCAGTTCACAATTGAGTTAGCAAAAGCTGTGTCTTACTAGATTCTGCTTTTTGATGACAGAGATAGGAGGAGTGAGGAATATGAGCCTTGTGGAAGCATGTTTAATTTTGTCACTTCTGTGATAATTAAATGTGATTCAAATGCAATCGTTTATATCTAGTACAAAAAGAATACAGTGTAGATGAGAGCTTTATAAAGCTCAGCCATTTAAAAATATTTTCTGGACGTTAGTTTCATTAATGTTCCTCGTTTTCCTTCAGCCCAACACCAGAAAGAATCGGAAAGGAGAAAGACTGAAATATTTTTGAGAACTGATTTTTGACTTAAAGTTAGTAGGATGGTTACATAAACACTCTGCAAACACTTTAAATGAGCTTAAATACTGGAAGATTCCAAGTTCATCCATAGCTCTTCTGTTTCTCTTGCTTCAGCTAACTTTCCTTTTCCTGTTATTCCCTTGCAATCCATTTGTGTTTTCAGAATAAAAGTGAATATTTAAAAATCAGGGTTTATGACACTTGCCCTGATCTATTCCCTGACAATGTGGAATTTCTGTTTGTTGGGGTTTTCATTATCCTATAATATGCTCACTGACTCTGATTTAATATTAAACAGTCTAGATCAGCTGAGTAAGTTTTTAGTGTTAAATGCTCTAGGCCTTTCTTATTACAAAAAAATTAAGAAAAATCAAATTTCACATTGGTAAGATTCAACTGTCACTTAATTTTCTTGTTATAATCTTATCCTTGTTCCTCTGTTCTATCAGTTTTTGTCTGAAGGGTGAAGCATTGGACGGCAGCTTTCCAGCTGTCATAGATTATACACCATACTTGAAGTTCACCCAAAGGTACTTTTTATCTTTACACTGTTTTTTAAAATTTTATTTCATTAGCAAAATTTTACTTCATACTGGGCCTTTTACTTTTCATTTCACATTCAAAATAATATCCATATCTAAATACAAACCTGTACACTGAGCTACCTTGCTATTTCAGACCGGTGGAATTATTACATGACTCATCAGTGAGTCATGCTAACTTTGTTTACTTGGATTAGAATCACTGTTCAGCACGAAACAAATTTTTTTTTCCTTTGAAGATTATCAGACCAAGTTGTCCTCTCTCTTGAGCCTTTTCTGTGTAGCCATAAACTTAAAAGTAGTTATTTTGTAAATAACAATTATATATGTCCTGGTAAATGGTAAGATATGACAGACAAGCAGTATGCAGTATGAGCAGTTAGCACATAATAGGAAATCATGACCAGTTGTGTATATAATCTGACCTTCCAGCTACATTTTCCTCCTCTGATCAGCCATATGATTAATAATAAAAAGAATGATCACTATCTAACAGATTAGATAGCAATTTGGCATCTCCAAAAAGCACAGAAGTTAATGGGATGTGTTCTATTGTTAGGTTTGCCAAAATGAAGGAAGCAGTTGGGAGTTAGGAGTAGTCTTGAAGATGTACAACTGAACATGAAACATCCTGATTATTCTCTTGAAGTTCTTATTAGCTTACCTGTTAATGACAAATTATGTGGTTCAGTTAAAGCAGAATTTGTATCACAGCAGGATCATGGGGTTGCAGGAATCACTACTTAAAAAACTAATAAATGCTGTTAATGTAGTGGAAAGCATAGTTGTTGTAAGGGAAGATTTCAGATGGATATTGGGATAAATTAAAATTCTTGTCTTTGCAACAGATGTCTGAATTCTCTGGTATACATTTGTTCTGGATGATACGGAGATATTAACAATGAATCTTCATAATATATAGGAAAATACTTATGTTCTGTGAAATAACAGGGACATGGTCTTCGCTATAACCATAACTGTACATTCTTATTTAAATTTATCATAACATAACAACAATCACTTTATTTTCTGCTTTTTTAGAAACAAAATCTATTTTCAGTTACTACTTTTTGCCCTGAATTTGTGAAGGAAAGATTAAGTCACCACTTCCTTAGACAGCATATTGTAATGCATTGGAGTATCCTACATACAGTTGTCTGACTTGGCTAAGACAAATTGACTAAGATCACAAGCAAATTTTTGCCCATTCTTTAGGTGGCTATACAAATAAAAGCTTGAAGTATAAGTTGTGTTTGGTGATCTATCGTATCCCAACATTTCGATTGTTTTTGGTTTCCAGAGCTTTAGATATCTCCAAGAACTGTGGTGTTTTAATTTCAAGGGGAATTTGCGCATTAACAAACACAGCTTTTCACTTGGCTAATAAATATGATCCTTCAGTTCTGACAGCATCAGCAGTGATGAAGAAGAGCTAAGAACGCTGGGCAGTAGTGGCAGTGAAGGCAGTACTCCAGAGAACATTGGTCCTCCTTTCATCACGGATGAAAACAGTTGGTACAACAAATGCAAAAGAGTAGAACAGAAGTACCGACTTGCATTGGAACAGAAGGTAAAAGACTAGTTTTGTATGGGGGTGGTGGAGCCAAAGCTGATCACCAGCCAACTGGTGACATATCCATTTAAGTAAAGGCAGAAAAATATATTAAGTATTATTTAGCCTCATGTGAGTGGTCTTAAATTTTATGATCCTCAGAGTATTTAAGTATTTTTGCTCACTGATTTGAGGAAAAAGAGGTTTGGGGAAGGGAGGGAAGAGAATAATAATAATTTGGAAATCAGATTTCACATTCTGATGTAGAAGCTTTGGCCCTTTTTTCAGTCTCAGATTTACAGGCAGTGTATCTCTGAAGCTGTTAGTTTGCGAGCTTGAAGTGAACATGACTGTCCACATGATTTTCATCTTCTTAGAGGCCATAGAATTTTATTGATGTACGTAGACTGCCAGTTGAAGGCTTTTATAATGATGGTGATGTTAAACTTTAACATATAGTCTTACAGTAAACAAAAATGATCAGCAAAGTAATCTGTCTAGGAATGAAAAGCAAAACTATCTTCTCAGTGATACTGAGATGGGTTTTTAGAGAATATATGGGTTTAGGATCTGCTTCAAGCTAGAATGGGAAAGGGAAAAAAAAAGACTGTGTATTTGATTTTAATAATTTAGGTGACATATTGAATGTTATTATAGAAACCTTATGTAGGTTCTCCCTCTACCACCCAAAATACTGTAAGTTAAAGGTGAAGTGAAATATATGTCCAAACTTTTTAGTATTTTAGTAGCTTTAAAAGCAAAGTGCTTGTCAGTTTTTCATAATGGGATATTACAACTACAGAGACAACAGTGCATATTAGCTAGCGGCAGAGAGAAGAGGGAAGACTGTTCAGAGACGCTGAAGAAATAGCGCACAGAAAAAGAAAGGCAGGGTCAGGAAAAATGAAAGGGAAGAAAAATGAAAGATAAATGGTTAATGATTTTAAAAAACTTTATTACTAATTTTAGTATTCTTTTTTCCTAATGTCAGAATTTGATTTTGGTGAAACTCTGAACACAATAAAACATATGAAAGGCTGGAACTACATAAGGGTGCTTGGAGGTGTAATTATTTCCCTTAGTTTAGGGTATTAGAATCACAAGATTGTCTCTCTGCCTTTCTAGTTTTTACTGTACTGAGAAGAAAAAAGATTTAAAAAAAAAAAAAGAAAAAGAAAGAGGCAAATGGGATCTAGAATGGATATTCTGCCAGTTGGGACTCAGTACATTCACTGTGGCCCAGGTCCTGGTACCAACTCAGTCACACACGTATTTAGGTCCTAAGAATGATTGTTGGCATGGTTTTGGCCTGGGACGATTAGCACTCTCCCAGATTATTTCAGGTCAGAGTTGTGAATTAGTGTTTGTCAGTGATCATTCCAAATAACCAGTATGACTTCAGACATGGTCCTTTGGAACTTGAGTTTTAATACAGATATAGCGAGACTGAGAGAATATACCTCAGAAGGAGTCCTGGCTATGTCCAATTCATTAGGGTAAATGTAGCTATGGGTTGCCAAATGTCAGTCTTAATACGGAATGGGTAGAATCAAAGTTGGTTTCCTTTAATGCATGTAAGAGAACCTAGTTAAAGTTTTTCTTAATAACAGTGAAAAAATCAGACATACTGTGGAATGATAGATGGTAGAGATGTTTTTTAAAGATATGCATACAATTATTTCTTTTCTCTTCTTGAGTCCCTTAGACTTCTCGTTTTTGAAGTATGACCTTAAATGTTGGCATCCAGGCTGCTGGTACAATCTTCTCAGACAGTGTGGTTTTACTTTTCATATGGAAAGAACTTGCGTTCCTTGGGGCTCTCTCTGGTACAGAGGACCTTTTCCCTGCTTTTGTAAACCGAAATGTGCCATTCAAAAGGAATCTCTTCAAATACATAAACAAAATTAAAACCTTTCCCTCCTCACTCCAACAGTCCTTGAAGCACAGGAACGTATTCAGGACAGCGTTTAATCCTTGTGTGCAGACAAAAACATAGGATCAGTTTGAACTCAGCTCTTCCCCATCCCCGCCCAAAGATTGTAAAATATTTTGGGATTTAATGAGGAAAGTGTCATCAACTCTGGAGAAGCACTGAAGAGAACAAAATAGATGGATGTTCATTTTTCTTGATACATCCAGGCAGTTAATTTCCAAGGATACCTCATGAAGGGATATCCCTTCAAAGTTGTGACAGACATCTATAGAAAAAATATTGAAACACGGTGTCCAAATCCACTAGCCAGAATCACTAGCAAGCTTTACCTCTGCAAAAGCACAAAGATCTTAAGTGGCTGTAACAGGAAATGGAGGTTTTGGTTGATTCACATGTATAGGATCCAGAAACATTTCTGTTCCATGGGAGGTTATTTGCTGATCTGATACCGAGTATTTCAAATTTTTGAGCATTACTATTTTAGTGAGTCACGTTATTCCTTGTAGCATTGTCTTATTGAACTGCCAACTTGTGTAGTCAACTAATGTAGGGGTGAATTCAAGTCATCTTTATGATAACTCTTTGAAAACTTTGGTGCATTTAATATGACTTTCAAAATGATAGCTACTCTGACAGCAGTTGACACTTTCCTAATTGTCTTCCTTTAGAATGCCTACTTGACAATTGCAGCAGCAAAAATAACTTTTTTATTCCCAGAGACAGAAAATTTTCCATTGTCTAATTTTCATTTGGGATATGCCTGCCAAATTTTTATATAATTCACTTTGACTATACTACATCTGTTCTATTATAACTTGAGCAAATGACCATTAAGAGGTTGGATGGACTATGGAAGAGAGCTCCTTTCCTGAGTGTTTCTCTCCTTCCCTTCTTGGAACCTTTTTTGTGGCAATAAGTTGCAGCAACAATCGCATTGCACACAGTGCAGTAGGTACCAGTTAATCAGACACAGAGTGTTTCCTTTCAGATAAAGGGGCTTTCTGACATTCTGTGTTGGAAAACTGGACGTTTGTGACAAGAAGACCAAGTTGAAAATGTATTTTTAGTACCTGATATAGTAAGCCTGATAGATCCTTCTTTTCCTCTACTGTCACTCACTTTGCACAAGCAATGATAAATTCATTTTGTGCCTCCTAAGTATGTGTACTGCAGTCATTAATAGTACAGGCGTTACTGTTTAAGGCTGGGCGTCCGCTTAAAGCGGGTGGCAGATGCTCTCTGTTAACCCCGTCCCTTCTGGGAAGGGGAAGGAGAGGAGAAAAGGGAGAGACACTTATGGGTTGGAAACTTAAACCAAACTTTAATAAAACAATAACAATGAAAAAAGAGTATAAATAATATTAAAACTAATGCTACTACTAATAGAAATAGAAATATACAAAACCGATATTGCTCTTCCCGATGATGACCGTGGGACCGCATGCCGCACCGTGGCAGCTTGCAGTGCTCACCGGGCAGGGCAAGCACCTGGATGTCCCAGAACTCGGCTCCACAGCAGGCGGGAAACCGGATTGAGGGGTGCACGTCAGGGTCGGAGTCAGGGGAGCGAGCAGGGTCCCACCAGGATGCCAGCCATGAAGGAAAGAGGACTGACTCCCGTGATCCCCGAGCTTTATACTCAGCGTTGCTGTGGGTGGGATAGAATACTGCATTGGTCAGTCCTGGGTCACCTGTCCCCTCTGCAGCTTCCTGGGAGTGCAACCCCTCCTCTGCCTTCCCCCCAGGAGGAGCCCAGCGAAGCCCAATAGGGCCCATGGGGGACAAGCACACACCCATGGGCCTTTCTGCAGAACAATCTAGCTCCTGCCCCAGCAACAACTGCAGACATTAACCGCCATCAACTCTGAAAGCCGGCACTGCCTGAAACCTGTAGTCAGCTGCAGACAGTGCAGTTACTAAGAAAACTTAACTGAAGGAAAAAAAATTACTGAAAGCATAAATAGTTCTGTTTCAGCCAAACCAGGACAACAAGTGAATGATGTTTACCAGGGTCACAATATGACAAGCGACTGGATTGCAGCTAAGATGAAGGTATCTGTATCTTCTGAGTTGTTTGAATGTAGGATAGGGTCAGGTATTATTTTAGCAAGGTAAATCCTAGCGTTGCTTTATCGGATCAACAATGCTACGCTGGTTTAGACCAAGAATCCTTGGTTATCCTACCATCCTATCTTGGATACTTGCCTAAAGTAGATGTCGAGGGAAGAATAAAAGCAAAACAAATGTATATGCACAGGTTTTCCTCTAATACTTTCTTGGCCAATGCATATCAGCTGAAGGACTTCCTGAAGCTGATAAGGTTTGTCTGTTTAGTAACCCGTGATGGATCTCTCTTCCGAATACTTGTCAAATATCCCCTTGACCCTATGTACATTTTTAGCATCCAGACCATTTTTTTTTTGGCAAAGCATTCTGTGTATCTACCATCTGTTGTGTGAAAAGCAACCTCCTTTTCTGTTTTTTGAATCTGACTCTTTACTAGCTTGATTTCGTGGTGCCTAGCTCTTGTATTTTAAAAAAATTATGAACAGTCACTTCCTTCCTGCCCTCTCCAGGCCACTCTGAAAATATGAGTTTGTCTTTTCCAAGTTGTCTCTTGTCCAGATTAATGAATCATAGTTTACACATTTGTTACTCATGTGGTAGTTATCCCTTCCCTATTTTGGAATGGTGTAAACTGTTCACTTTTGCATAGTAAACTCTTAAATTCTTTGTGTACTGTTTATACTGGAGTTTTATATGCTTTCACTGGTGAGATGGTGCATCTCTGTGTTATTATAGAGGTATTTACTGTTCACAGTATTCTGTTTCTGATAGTGATGCTTCATATTTAAAATCTTTTTGTAAAATATTTGTTTGATGTTTCTGGGAGGCAGGAAATCTGTGTATGTCCTAATGCATCATTAGCACTTTCAAAGCGCTACTGAGAGCTCCAAGGAGTACCTTAACAGTCAAGATAATAGTAACATTTGATGGCACAGAACTAGGCTTACTGAAAACCTCTCAAGATTCCTTGGAACTTGTACTGAGACTGAAATAAATTCTTATCAAATATAAATATATCCAGTGGATAGAACTGTATGTAATCATAGAATCACAGAATAGTTGTGGTCGGATGGCACCTCTGGAGATTGTCTAGTCCAACTCCCCTGCTCAAAAAAGGGTAAGACTAGAGCAGGTTGCTCAGGGCCTTGTTCAGCTGGGCTATGAGCCTCTCAAGGATGCAGACTCCCCAGCCTGTCTGGATAGAATGTTCCAGTGTTCATTTAAAAGAGGGGGAAAAAAAAAAGTTTTTTCCTACCTTTAAATAGTTTCCTGTATTTTGATTTATGCCCGTTGCTCTTTTCATTGGATGCCACTGAGAAGAGTCTGCCTCCATCTTCTTTACACCCTCCCATTAAATATTGATACACATTGATATGCTTCTCTTCCTCCCCTTCTTCCCCCCTCCTCAGCCCTGGACTGCACAATCCCAGCTCTTTCTGCCTCCTCTCATATGAGAGATGCTCCAAACCCTTAATAGTCTTTGTGGTGATGAACTAACTTAGTAGCATTTTACTACCAGCTAACATGAAACCTGTTTTCTTACTCAACAGGACTACACTTGTTCTGTGTCTATGAAAACTACCTTTTTAAAGTTGTGTTTTGTTTTATTTTGTTTTTTAATGTAGGCACCTATGAAAGAGTTACACATTTTTCCACAGGCTTCAAGCAATGCGCAAAATTTTGTGCAGCATAGACTTATTATATCCAGCTTTAACTAAGAATTGATAAGAAGTTGCTAACATCTGACATGCTCAGGCTCTGCTTGAAGAAGAAAGAAATAGCTGCTGAGTATTGTAACCAGATGTGTAATTTGTGAACATACTTTGTGACCAGCATGCCATCACAGCTGCTGTTAAATAGTCACATTGTGCATTTTTGTAAATGACTAGGTAGTTGGAAGGTGATTAGGACTGCTCCATATTTTTTATAGTATCAGCTGGAAGACCATGACATAAATGCACATGCACAGTTCAGCTGTACATGTCCGGTGTTACTAGAAGAATCAACCTTCACCAGCTGTCCTACCTTATGCTTTACTGTAGATGAATATTGAAATAACTTTCTTCATTGTCATTTTAATGTGTGATGTGGTATTGCAGTTTTCAAAGAAACTTTAAAGTGATGTTGGATGTTTTTTCATAGTAATTCTGAATCCCTTTCATTAACTATACAGATCCATATAGATACATTCGACTCTTGTCCTTCTTAGGCAATATCTAACATCCTGCATCTGTTAAGTCGTAGAGTTCTGATCTTTTTCTTGTACTAGTGACTGTTCTATGTTGTTTTCAAAAAATGAATTAGTGTTTCATGCTGGTGGCATTC